CCGAATCCCGAAACAAATTGAATTTCGGACCCGAATCCTGAAAAACGAAATATCGCAAAATCTGAATCAAAAGAAAACAAATGTTTTGCCAGTGCATATGTCTAATACTGACGCATAATACCATAATACATCATTTTAGTTAACACCTGTAAGTCAATAAGGATTAAAATACATATAGTGTGTGCACATGCACACACCGGGAGCTCATCCCATAGGTAGCTGTGTTAGTAAGTCTTTAAGAAGTAGAGTTAATATACTGTGTGCAGATATTGGGAGATCATTCCATAGGTAGCTGTGTTAGTAAGTCTATGAAGAAGTAGAGTTAATATAGTGTGTGCACATACTAGGAGACACACATACATAACATGATACACATAACACTCATGTCCCATTGCTATTTATGTCATTATACACAATAGGGAGAAGTGATCAAAACTGGAGCAGAAGAATCTGGAGCAGTTGCCTGTGGCAACCAATCAGCTTCTCTTTTCAGTTTGTTAAGGTTTGAAAATATAAAGGTGAATGCTGATAGTTTGCCATGCACAGCTGCTCCAGATTCTGCCTGCTCCAGTATTGATAAATTCCCCTCAATAATTTTTATTATGTAGTGTAGTGTAATGTTCCATCTGGAAATGCAGCTCCTGTTTGGTATGTCCTGTATTGACTGATAGATTTAATGAATTTTCTCTTTGCAGTGCCCAAAAATAGACACGTCAGCAAATTGATGTGAATGTGCTGATTACCACCACCAGAGAGAGATGAAAGATCATAGCTCTAGCTCACCTGAAATTGTTCCACGGCTTCAGCTTTATAAGCAAGAAATGGTGAATGATGATGCACAGGCCATGATAGAATGATGCTGCACGGAATGCATTTCCAGTCAACAACAGTTATCTTTTCTTTCTGCTGACATCAACTCTTCTTCATCCTACCATTATAGTGTAGAAGAGATACGTCTTTCTCTTATGCTTTGCTGTAGGAACATGTCTTCCTCCTTACAGAAAGAGAAAGCAAGAGATTGTAAGGAAAGATGACTGTAGGTATAAAATAGAGAAGCTGGGAAATCATACCGTGCGATAGGTCACCAACAGAAAGAAAAGAAAATAGCTGAAAAGAGATTGTTCCATGGCCTCAGCTTCATGACCATAAAATGTTCTACTGCAGTGGTGAATTAGCTGATTCCCGCCACCAAATAAAAGAAGAAAATAGCAATAGCTCACTAGCGATTCTTCCATGCCCTTAGGAAGGATGATGCTGCATGGACCATAATAAAAAGGTGCGGGACAGAACGCGTCTCCAGCCAGCAACACTCATCTTCTTCTACCATCATCCACTCTTCCTCATTCTGCTATTTGAATGTAGAGATCTGCCTTTTTCTTGTACTTTACTGTAGGAAAATGTTTTTCTTCCTACTCTACTGTATGAAACAGTGAAGGGCAGAACGGAAAGATGACTATAGATAGAGGATGGTGGAGATTCGGGGAACTCAGGTTCACATCTTATCGTGCAGGATTTTGAGTGGAGGAAGGAAGAACATGATGTAGCCCATTGGCATCCATTTAAAACCAAACTATCAGTATTAGGTGACATTTTAAATATCTCATCCGAAGAGCTCACACCTTTTCCTTTACAGAGACTTGAAACCAAAGAACATACGGATGGCAGCTTTGGCCATACAAAGATTGTAGACTTAGTTTTTTCTGCATTGACTGTGTTTGAACATTTGGAGGGTTATCCACTATAAAGCGGAATGATCCAGGCGTAGCCAAGTTGTTATTTATTGCCCGGGACCTGCTAGAAGACTCTGGCAGGTGCCGGCCAATAAGAAACAGTTGGGCGGAGCTAGCTGTGATGTTACCACTAGCTTCGCCTAATTGTTTATATTTTGCCGGCATCTGTCAGATTCGACATTATGTGGCGGGAGTTTGCTGCATGTGGTCGGGTCGGCGTGCGTCGTTTATGTATTTATTATTATTGTTTTATTTCGTTGAGTCATGGGCGTCGTGATTGACCCTGAATTACATCAGTGGATCAATTTTTGTTTTTATTTTTATAAAAGACTTGTCAAAAACTTGTCTCTTGTTTTTTTTCCAATTAAAGGAATTTTTCTAAAGCCTGGCATCTTTTTTATACTTTAATCCAACCCTTTAGTGAATGGGTATGGGTATAAGTACCCCTTACTTATTCACATGGGAGGGGGGCACATCTGGGTGCCATTATTGAAGGGGTACCCCAATGTGAATAAGCCCCCTTGTCCGCACCCCCACAACCAACGCCCCAGGGCTTGTGGGGAAGAGGCCCTTGTCCCCATCGTCATGGGGACAAAGTGCTTTTCCAGGGGCGACCCTGGAAAAGCATCCTCCCAATGCCGATGGCATGTGGCCTGGTATGGCAGGGAGGGGGCGCCCACTTGTGTCCCCCCCCTCTCTCAGGCCCTGCCAGGCCTGTGCTCGGATAAAGGGTCTGGTATAGAATTTTAGGGGGGACCCCACGTCCTTTTTTCCCCATTTTTGGGGGTGGGGTTCCTCCTTAAAATTTCTACCAGACCTTAAGGGCCTGGTACGACTTTATGGGGGAACCCCACACACTTTGTTTTTTAAATTTTAACTTGGGGTCCTTTCTAAAATTCCTACCAGCCCTGCGGGAAACCCACACTTTAAAAAAAAAATGTTTTAGGTGTTACTGAACTACAGCAGAGGAAAATCAGGTCTCTGACAGGGCTGTACTGTGTTCCAGAGATGTGTAAATCTCAGGACTGGATGAACAGAGATACAAATCCTTTAGCAGGTAAAACAGTTCACTAATTTTCATCTGTATATTTAGCTTGTTGCCTGCCATACACCTTTAACATGACATACACCTTGCTCTGCGAATGTGTAATCTCTATTCAATCTGCTTAAAGGCTACCAAAAGTCTAGAAGGCTCTCATACTGTCTATATATACTGCTATATTCCAGCAGATTCGCGTTTTGACATTCGCACACAGTGTACGGCTTCAGACGCAGACATGATGGGATGGATCCAGGTCCGTACACCGTCAGTGTGTGGCTGTCAAAACTCAGAGCTGCGGGAAGCATAATGCGAGGGCGCACAGATCCTGCACCTCCATAGAGTTACATGAGCTGTCTTCACGCTCCAGGCGCATCAACAAACGGCCCTTCACACTGCACGGAGCAACACACCCCATGAGGATAAGGCCTAAGAGCAAACGTTCTTGACGTGGACACTACTCATTTACTAAAGGTTTAAATATCAAACAGAGCACACTTTTGGAAAAAATACTTTCATTGAACAAAAAAAACACACAGTTTTCGGTCAAATCGCTAATTTAGTGTCGTGAGTCCGTTGGGAGCAGTGGGGTCCAGTGAGCAGCATTTTTTTTTTGTGGTCATCGTGATTGACCCTGGGTTACGACGTTGGATGCTTTTCTGGGGGGGGTTCTAATTAAAGGAATTGTCAAAAGCTGTGTTTTTTGTTCAATTAAAGTATTTTTTCCAAAAGTGTGGTCCATTAATTGACTCTATTTTTAACCCTTTTACCCCAATGCAAATAAGCCCACAGACCTTACAGCCACCGGGCTAGGGTTGCGGGGAAGAGGCCCTTGTACCCCCTTAAAATTGCTACCAGACCTAAAGGGTCTGGTAGGACCTTTTGGGAGGAACCACATGCACTTTCTTTTTTTTTTTACTCGGGGTTCCACCTAACATTCCTACCAGACCTAAAGGGCCTGGTAGTGTCTGGGATTAGTACCCCCACGCTGTTTTTTTCCTGTCTATATGCAATTTTTTATTTATTGTGTTCGGTATCTCTGAGGTAGCGATCCAGCCGGAACGCACTGAGGCTGGTGTGAAATAGCCCTAATTATCAAAGCCCATGTAGATTAAAAAATAACCCCTAAATGCCCCTTAGTTTAAAAAAAAAGAAGAAAAAAGTTAAATAGTAAAGTACGGTATTCGTAAAGTTAAAAAAGTATAAAGTTTTTTAAATTTTTACAAATGTTATAAGAAAATATAGTGCCGAGGAGGCTACTATAGATAGGAGACAAACCACATTCCAAATATTGTTCCACACTAAAATTGTATTTCACTCCTTAACCTATAACTCCCAAAATAAACTGTAATCCCAGACATATGATATACCCTATAAATCAGGACAAATATATGAATTTATTATGAATTACTTTCTGTTAGCTACACTATTTATGTACAAAAATGTGTTTTTTTCCCATTTTTTTAATTTAAAATAAAAATAAGAATTTCTATTTGCATATGTCAGACCAACTTAAACCCCACTTTGTCCTTTAAAAAAATGGTATATAATATGTGTAGGTGCAATACATGAGATAGATGGAAATTATGGTTAAATAAACACATAATAAAAATCGCAAAATTGCTTCGGTCCCCAGAAGCGAAAACATTTTCTGAAGCTGTGTTACTGAGGGGTTAAAAAAATATTCATACTTTGCAGAACAGAGCTGTGTGCCTTTTATCCTACCAGAATAGTCGTTTTTTTGTTCCCTTGAGAATGCAGATGGTACTGGGCAACCACCTGACATAGGAAAGACTGCCTCTGCACGTAGTAAGGAAAGTGTAGAGATATAAACTACTTTGTTATATGTATAGTCTGCAGGAGCCCGTGCATTGAACCCATAGTGCACTGATTGTGGTTGCAAGGCTTTGCAGGCTCAAATGCAAACAATAAATGCATATTTTTTGCATCAATGTGGCTGCATTTATACATTTGTATAGTAAAAGGTGGAAATAGATATTTGCGCATTCTTTGTAATGGCTTGCTGTATACAGTACTCTTCAGGCTAACTGTTGCTGAACAAGGCCTTTGTTGTCTGCAACAAGGGAGGCAGCATTTTGACATGACAAGGCTGCATTCATCTGAGCTGGGTTAAGCAGTGCAGGTGCGATGAGTCAGATAATAAAGAGCAGTTTAACAAAACAGGATGCAAGAACAACCTGAAAGTGGCAGAGATAGATACACTAGTGGACATGGCCGAGACAGGGCTAACTCCAATTCTGTGGTCTCCTGCAGAGAAGGAGAAAGATTCAGCTGGGCTTCCTGCTCCTATTGAACATCAGCAAGAAAGGAAGGTCACTGACATGGGTAGATAACTGATACTGCTGTGCTGTTTAATAAATAAAAATTGCAGTATGCAAAAATACTCATGTGATCATCACAATAGAATTTTTGCACACTGCACATTTCATCGTGCAACCATGGGAGAACAATGGGGGGAATTTAAACTGGAGCAGACTAAATCTGGAGCAAATTTGCACTGCAACCAATCAGCTTTTATCTCTCACTTTCAAATCTTACCTGAGCAAACTGAAGAGATATGCTGATTGGTTGCCATGAGCAACTGCTCCAGTTTTGATAAATTGCCCCCAATATATCTTTATTCTAAACTAACTTGATGTACACTTCATTAAGGACTCATTCACACATACTGTGGTGACCCGAATGCAGGTCACTGCAAGGACACATAGAAAACAAGTGTTTTCTATGTGTCCCATTTACGCCACACATGGGTGTGATGGGTGGTGTGCTGCGCTCCAATAAAATACAAACATGGCTGCATTTTATTGCAGTGCACTGAATGCTACTGAAGGTTGCCTCACAACAGTGCAGCGCACTGGGCCGTGCTACTGTGCAGGAACCTTAATGGAGTGTACACATTGTACATTCCACATAAAGTAAAAAAAAAATAAACAGTGACCGCTCCATCAGTGTGCAATGTATCACACATTGCCTGAGCCGAAGCTGCCACAACACAGTAGTCCGTTTGCTAAAATGCATCGTTTTAGTGGATGGGCTAGTGTGTGAACGGGCCCCCAAGGAAATCTGTGAGTAGTAATACTTGTGACCCTATCTTAACTTTTTACATACCATTTGGCACTGAGCCCAGCATCAGACATTGGCACTGTGCTATTGATGGAGGTGCCCTCCGCACACCTTTCAGCAGTCCCGGCCAACAATCAAATAAATGGTGCTCGAAGTAACTTCACGGATGGCACCGTGCAAAACACAAGATTGAAGAAAATAGGTCACCAGCACTCCATAAGTTAAAATGAATGAGTCCTTTTAATGGACAATGATGTCACAGAAATCCAACATGAGCCAAACTCATGTTGGATTTCTGTGACATCATTGTCCATTAAAAGGACTCATTCATTTTAACTTATGGAGTGCTGGTGACCTATTTTCTTCAATCATGTGCACTGTGCTAACACATGGTATGTCATATGTGTTGCTTTAAGGCTACCTATTTATTTTTAATGAGCTGCCAGTTTTCCTCAGTGTGCAAGGAACCTTTTTTTGGAACACAACACATGACAACACATAGTAGTAAGTTACTGGTTGTTGCGATGAGCTGCAATGCAGGAGTGTTGCTTTATTGCATTGGGGTTCCATTATAAATGTCACTGCAACTATGCATGGTGTGCTACCATGTGTTAACGCATCACATGGTCATATTTGGTTGTTTTATGTTTTAACAAATAAAAGCTGCACAATGGTTAGAATACTAGACTTGAATATTGCACCTCCGACAAGTTATTTGTAGAGATTTATATGGCTATTACACAAGACAAGGCTTAAGTTGATCATACATGACTTACATTTCAGCTGTTCCATTCTGAATCCGTTGAAATTCAGTCCATGGATGGCCCTACTGGCAACACCCATGTTTGACAACATTCAACTTTTTAATTGAGTTTTGTCAAAGATGGAAAATTGTTGGCGAAACAATGCCTGCAGCCAATCGGCTCCTGTCAATGTTCGGGTGTTCTGACAGCTGCGGGCATGGACTGTCCGCATACAATAGTAGGGGGGATTCCGCCATCCATGCTGTTTAGCGTGGATGGGAGAATTGAGGGTTTTTTTTTCTTGTTCATCCTGCAAGGCTGAATGACAAGAATCTGAAGGAGCATATCCATTTTAAGACTACATAACATGTAATTTCCTTATTGCTATAGTTTTCATTAGCATGAGATGACAACAACCAGAAAATGTTACTGTTATATAGATTGTTTAGGAAAACCTTTGATTCTGAGGGGTAAAATGTATAGCATGTGCATGCAGACTTCCATCTGGGTGACTTCCCTTGCTTCCATTAAAGGACAACTATGGGATCAGGGCTTTTCCCCATAGTTCTCCTAAGGTTCACCCAAAGCTCAGTATACCGCGATGCCGCAGCCCGGACGGATCCCGACATTACTGTCTGGATCCACCCAGCTGCGTGAGCGACAGCTGGCTCTGCCTATCTAGAGGCAGAGCCAGCTGTACCCGCCCCCTTCCCCCTTTCATACCGCCAGTCAGCACTGGAGGAGCGGGGAAGGGGGGAATCCCTGCAGGGAGCCGTGAGTGACAGTCACGGCTCTCTGCAGGGAGATGATCGAGAAGTGAGCGAGCGACGGTATGTGTTCGCTCACTTCCGATCTACTGAGCCGACCTGTGACAGTCTCATTGTCACAGGTCGGCTAGAACTATGAGGCTGAGTGATTTTTCACTCGCATCATAGTTCTCCTTTAAGCCCTGCTTACAAAGCTCAGGGTGACCTAAATATATCAGTTTGAAGTATATTAAACGTTGAAATGTTTGTTTTTCTATAAAACCATTTTTTTTTTTGGACCGAGCAGGCACGTGTTGGTGCCTCAATTAGGCTTTTTTTTTTTTGTGTATGTGTCTGCTAGGGAGATTCACCCTCTCTATTTGTCCTGGTGACCGCTACCCAATATCTACCTAATAAGACACAGACCGCAAATTTTAAAAAATGTAAAAAACTATTTGACAGGGGCTTTAACCAATCACTCACACTCCAATAAGAATTTCAGTCAATGTTCTTTGCCTCAAGAAGGGACCTATACTGTTCAGAAACGTTGCTATACAATGTGACAATTCTTTTGTCAATAAAGAACATTGACTGCAATTCTTATTGGAGTGTGAGGTACATTCTAATACGTGATACGGATATGCAGAGGCATCTGCTGTCATCTCAGCACACACCCATTACCCTGGGTTATACCCGGTCAGGAGTACGATGGGATCTACTTGAATTATTGACCAATCCTTACTCTATCCAAAACACAACTACATTTCTTGTCTTTAGATATACTTTAATAAATTAATGTCTGATTATATTTTACATATGTACATCTATAACTTGTTCTAGCTACAGTGAAACTTTCCGGAAAAGCCGTGTTAGAAAAACTGCATTCAAAATATTCTCAGAAACCGTGGAATGAAACTTTAAAGCTTGTCCGCTACTGTATGGTAAGAGTTTTCTTCCCCTACATTTTAGTAATTAAGATGCACTACAATACAGTCAGTGGCGGACCTAAGGAACACGGCCCTGGTGCAAGTTTTTTTCTCGGGGGGGGGCCCCTTCCTGTTCCCAAGGGGGGGTTCTGGAACTGGATCTCACAGGCCCCATAACCCCCCCCAGCTCTCTCTGCACTAAAGGAACTTACACTCTAATGTCCCCCCATAGTCACACAGTATTGTTTTACATTCCTATAGCTCTGACATACACTGAGTGGCCAGATTATTATGACCACCCCATCAGTACTTCGTTGGGCCACGAGATAACTCCACGAGATTACTCCAGCAGACTTCTCCCCAGGACCCTCTTGTGTAGTCTCCAGCCGGCCAATGGCGATCCTGCAGTCTTCCTCCTATAGCAGTTGAAGTGGGAGGAGGAAGCTGCAGATGGCCGCCGACAGACCGATCACTGAAGTACACAGCCGGCACACAGTAGTGACAGCTGAACAAATTATTCTCCCCTCAGCCGCTCTGTGGCTGCAGCCGCTGAGGAGGAGAAGAATCTGTACAGCTGTCACTACTGTATGCCGGCTTCAGTGATTGAGAGCAGCGATCACTCTTCTCATCTCTCTCCTCCTGAGAAGAGTGATCACCGCTGCAGCGGCCAGTTTCCCTCTGCCTTCAATCCCCGGGACGGACCTCAGTGGGCCCCTACAACCGCCTTGGCCCCCTGGGCGGCCGCACCGGTGGTAGTTCCGCCCCTGAATACAGTGTGTATTATAAATAAATAAGGCAATATGATGCAACCAAAGCCATAGAGAGATCCAAATACAAGGACTGGAAGCACAGAAAAATATGGGATTGTTGGAAGAGACATTGCAGCATGCTGAAAATCCTCATGTGGTTTGATTTTGTTGTGTATTCTCCATTGGAAAAGGAAACTATTCCTTAATGGCACACAGATCATATGTAATAGTCCCAATAGGTTCGGAGTGATTTAGCACTGAAATAATTTGTTTACATCTTTTATATGTATACATGTTTTATGTATAATATACGAGAACAGGTGTATTGCCTAGTAGGCCACCATATTAATGGTCAGCCCTAGAAAAATATTAGGGGCCCCTTTATGCTTACCTGTTGCATCATACCACATGTTAACCTGCATGGTATTTTGCATTTTAATGTACGTTGCGGTACAGAAGGCTTTACCCCTTTTTTCTTTTTTTTTTTACGTACTGCATCATGAATCGTGCATTACCCCAAAGCATAGGTGTGAAGTCAGCCTAAAATATAATGGTTTAAAACTAAAGCTAGGCAATATATATATTAGGGCTGTTACTCATTAAAATTTTCGTGTTCGATTAATCGAAATTTTTTAAAATCGATTAATTGATTAATTTCGATTAATTATAACGCACATACAGATCCAACTACATTGGCCTATACACATACAGCACAGCAATGAAGTAATAAAATGAACTAGGATCACACTAATCCAGCACGTTATTAATCTCAGGTGCCCCACTCAATATGGCCGCCGCTTGAGTGGGGCAACTCAGAATAATAACGTGCTGGATTAGTGTGATCCTAGTTCATTTTATTACTTCATTGCTGTGCTGTATGTGTATAGGTCAATGCCTTGGCTGGCGCTCGTGCAGAAAGTTGCAGAAAATTTTTAATCGATCAAAAAGATTAACGATTAATCGAGAAATTAATCATTAATTTGCACAGCCCTAATATATGTATATATATTAGGGCTGTGCAAATTAACGATTAATTCCTCGATTAATCGTTAATTTCTTTGATCGATTAAAATTATTTTGATTGGTACTCACCTTTCCGCCGGCTTCTGGGTCCGTGACGTCACCGGACTCCTCCCCCTTCCCCAAGTGGCGCCATTGGCTAACGAAGGGAAGGGGGGAGGAGTCCCTCTCCACTTTCTCACCGGCTTGACAAAGAAGAATTGAGACATCTTCTAAACGCATTGCCGTTTAAACCATTGTTCCTCATGACACTCTGCCCGGGCTAGGATCACACTAATCCAGCTCCTTATTATTCTGAGTTGCCCCACTCAAGCGGCGGCCATATTGAGTGGGGCACCTGAGATTTATAAAAAAAACTAGGATCACACTAATCCAGCACGTTATTAATCTCAGGTGCCCAATTACAAACTGTATTATTGCATTACATTTTTGAGAACTCTATTATACATCTACAATGCGCCAACAACATAGCCTAGGATTCAGGTTTTAAGCTGCCAAAACAATGACATAACTCGGGTCAAACTTTTTTCAGCTATTCTTCTCGTAGCATGTGCTACACAGGGATTACAGTCTCGCTTCAGACTTCTCTGCCTCTGATAATGCAATATGAGCAGTGCTGCTTCAATATCTGCAGCGTGTCCTGCATCAGGAATGCTTCTAATTAAGGGAGTATCCTAACAACCAGTATTTTGTCATCTAAGCTCAGGTAATCTAGCCCTTTTCCCTCAGGCTTTTTTTTCATGGGTCACCCAAGATCTGTCCCAACACAATCCTACCTCTGCCTGCCTCATAAGATTTTACTAGGTACACTTGGAGATTTGCAGAGAACTCTGTGATTTAATTGAATAGTTCTGTATAAAGTCTTTCTGAGAAACCAAAACGGTTATGGTTTCCCACGCTTCCAGATAGCTATTCCATCCCTGTGATTTTGTAAATGAACTTGTGTGCAGGTTTCCTGATCTGCATACTTGTTTCAGGTCAGACAGTCAATTATCAGAGCCAGAGGGTCAGCATAACAGGCAAGCAACTATCATCTCTTGCTCCTCTCATCCGACTTACCCTGGATACAGGGCCATCTACATAGACATTGTTACCCACACTTAAATGATTATGTCCTTTTGTACAAGTCCCTTATGTCATTGAATACTTTGGCAAAAAGACTACTAGAATGCACTGTTGGAGGCAGCACGGGTTTTGTTTTATAGGCAGAGCCACATTTGTTCTATACAAACAAAAGAAAGAAGAGATGGTTTTATGTTCCCTAAACTGTAGTAAGTCTAGTAAGACTTCTGATTCCTCAACATTCACTGAATCTCTTTCTCCCTACAGTTTTCTTGCTGAATTTAGCTACAGATGCCCAGAGGTGACCAGAAGAGAAACAAAATAAGAAAAAAACATTATCACAAATAAAGAATAATCATTGGCTCACGTGTTTCATCATAGTAAATACAATACTGGCTGGATAGGGTGACACAAGGGCAGTGTCACTACCAGTGTCACAAGGGCAGGGCCTACCACAAATGCCTACTGGAGACGTTGGGAACAGCCAGAACTCTGTGGTGGTAATATGGCAGATGCTAAAGCCATGGAGCAGGAACATCTGCTAGAGACAGCAGCGGCCACAGCAGGTTACACAGAAGATGTGTAGTTGGGCATAGCTCACAACTGCCCCTTATTTGGTTGGACTGTCCCTCCTTTGGAATTAAATTCCTCTATCCCTCTTTTCTCCAGTTGTCCTTTTTGTTCTGGTCTGGTGTGTGTGTGTGTCTCGTTTGTAGGCAAATTAGCTATAATTGGCTATAATTTTGCACTGAAGTTGCTAGAGGGCGAGACCATTATAAATAGGGAAGCAGGTTGTTTACAACGAAAGTAGAAGTGATTTTTTTCTGAAGATATGGGTAAACAACGCGATTTAACAAACCATAACACTTCCCCCACCAGCTTGAAGGGTTGCACTCATGCATGTGGGGTGCATGCTTTCATGCTGTTTCCGCCAAATTCTCACTCTGCCATCTGCATGATGCAACTGGAAACGTGATTCATCGGAAGCACCTTTAGAGTGATCTGTCCTTATAGAGCGACTTGGGACAGAACTGTGTGGCTTTTAATCCTTTAACCCTTTGTTAGGACAGGCAGTGTTCAAACCTACTTTACAACTTTTAATGAAATGAGCCAGTACAGTACATACAGAGTTAACACAAAGGTGGAGCAAGTAGAAAATGTAACCCTTAAGAAGCCAAGTAGAAACCCTAACCTACGTAAAAGCAATTTTAACTGCATGAAGCATTTTCAAACATTTTTTTAAGTTAATGCTATGTGAATGGGAACATGTAACAAATATGTGAAAGTGCAAATACACTTTATGGCCGTTCATTAAATGGCTTACTTGGCACCAATGCTGGTGCTAGGTGTGTGTGCAGGGGTTGTGAAGCGCATGAATACACGTTTGCAGATGCATGTTTGACATAGTGACTTAATGTGAAGGACCACAGTCCAGAACAGTGCGCTTACCCATGCACATATCAAACAATGGAATTTCCCTGGCACAGTGAAAGCCTGACAGTAAATCAGAACCAAAGTGCAGTTAATTGGCAGCGTAATTGTTTTCCGTTTTCTTGTTAGGATAAACCTGCTGCGAATGCTCTGAAGGGCTTTACAGATCATCCAGTTATAAGATGTGGATACACACTGCAAGAAGCTGTAAAAGGTACTTGAACGTGTGACCTCTGTACAGTTGGTCCATTTGGAATCACATTTTATACTGAATCTGTTATCTGCCATAAACTATTCCTGCTAACCGCTTGTAATATGTTTACCAGGATGACTCTTAACAACTGTTCTTACATTGCAGCAAAATCCCTTTCCACCTTACTAACCCGCATAGAAGCCATATCAAAGCAAAAGGGGTACGTTTTATATACGTGTTGAAAGCTGAAACCATTTAGAACATCTATGAAAATAATGACTTTGTCTTCACCATATGTTGTTCTTACTTTTTATTGGTTTTTAATTTTCTTAGCGTTTAGTTGTAATTTTATTCATTCAAATATGTGTTAATACACTCATACAATGATGCAACAATTGCTTGAAAAATATTAACTCAAAATAAAATATAACTCCGGGCCAAAACCTTATTTTTATTCTAGTTTTGGATGGGGTTGGGAAGGGTTAGAACCTCCTATTGGAATGTTATTTCTGTTGGTGTCTCTTTTTTTTGGACTATTTTAACGGACTATCCACCCCCTCCAATCTAGGTATATTTGTCCTGAGGAACATTTTTTGACAGTAAATGAGATGGAAACCAAAATTTTAAGTCTGTCCCCAGAAAAGGAGTAGAAGAGATATCGTCCAATGGGGGACAAAAGTTCTGTGCAGTGGGATTTCCACATTCTGAGGAAATTAATACTTCCTGTTGTGTCTTTGGGGCAGAAAGTGCAAGGAAATAGTTCTGATGAGGGTGCAGCAATAATGGAGGTTCTAACACTTTCCACACTACACAAGTAAAAAAAAACTAAAAACTTTAGCTGGAGGCACACTAAGGCCTCTCTGGATGAAGTGAAGGTAGGAGACACAGGACACCAGTGAGATGGGTGAAAAAGTCCTATTTCAGGGAACTGACAGGGTAGCTTTAAACGTACATGGTATGTTGACAAAGCCTAGTTTCTGTGTGAATTTTGTAAAAATTGTATTTCCCTTGCGTAAAAAATAAATAAACTTTCTTACTATAACCTACAGCTAGAAATTTGTAGGTCTCATAGTAAATAAAATGTGAAAGGACCTCGTTTATTGGCTCCACCCAACCCTTTAGGCTAGGTTCACACCTAGGCGATTTATCGCACAAAACACAGATTCCCATTGAAGTCAATTGACCTGTTCACACCTTTGCATTGCGTTGAGTGGCCGTAAACGCCTGTCGCAGAAAAAGATGCAGCTCATCGGCTCAATCGCATAGGTGTGAACCTAGCCTTATAGGAAGCTTCAGCATTACCATCACATTAGCTTTTTATTGCAAAGCCAACATCAGAGCAGATGCTCTGTGTAAGGTTTCGCTTTAGTTCCCATAAAACTTGTGATGCATACTGTGATTTTACTAAAATGGTTTTGGACAGAGAGAACCTGAATGCTTCAGTGTATGCATTTTCTTCATTATTTCCAGCCTAGTAAAGGGGCGTTTGCTGCCTTCTAGTGGTAGATGTGGAAAAATTACACTGTTAAAGTGGAACTGAACTCAAAAAGTGACGATTTATGTTCTATGGGAAAAAAATTTATCTCTTGCCTAGAATTCCTACTGAAATCTAGCAGTGCACTTCCTGGTATGTGAGAGTGGCTATCAGATAAATCAGATTTTAGCAACTGCTGTCTCTTACTTTTAGTCTCAGGAGATTTGGAATGAGATTTGGTGATGTCCCTTCTGTGCTGCTCACTACTCTTCTTGCTGGAGGCTTTGGCATAAGAAAGCAATAGCTCTCCCTCTATCGAGATGGCTGCCGTCACACAGGGCCACCATGTAAAAAAAAGACACTAACTCAGTAATGGGGACAGATTCGCTGCAGGGAGACCACAGGAAATAAAGGTAGCGTGTCCTTTGTTCTCTACTTGCCCATTTTTTGGCATATGTTCCAATTCATTCCTCTTTAACACAGTTTTTTTTTCTGGATTAAAACAAAGTTTACACCCAGAGCTGCTAATATGCTAAATAAGTATATTACATTTAATCAAGTTTTAATCAAATTCAATTCAAATGCAGTTTTAATACTTCCAAAATAACAAAATGGGCAAAAACAGAGCGTACCTCGCTCAATTAGCAACTCTTCTCTACAAGGAGGCTTTTTTTAACAAGCAAATTTACCATGCCAGTGATTTTGAGTTTTGCATCCAAACCCACTCTGCTGAGGCTAAAAAGTTTATTTGTGAATAGAAACCTAAGTCAAGCCATTAGTTATAAAGGGCTTCTGTTAAGTGGGAGTATGATGAGGATGTGCACTGGACAGGCTGAAATGTGTTGCAAGATTGTAGTGTTTTTATAATTCAATTATAATTTTAACACATTATCGTTTTTGTGTTCCCGGATAATTCAAAAGATAAAGTATGTGAAATTAAAATTCCTTATAGGCTATCCGTACGGTGTGTGATTTGTGTCTCCTGCAAAATATAGGTTGGAGTCTCACCTTGGTCCTAATGGAAGAATTTGCTATATCACATCAGAGATGTTCTATATAGAAGTTCAAGTGAAGAGAAATGGACATGTCGGATTTGTTAAGCTGGCTCACCATGGTGATTCTCCTACTGTAAGTTGGCATGGATTATAAATTGTAGGGATGCACCGACACCGTTTTTTCGGTATCGAGTACACGCACCAATATTATTATTAAATTTTTTTTGGTACTCGCCGAATAGCGACATCGGAAGTCCCTTTAAGGAAGCCGGGCAGAGTGTTATGACTTGCTGCCCATTTTCCTGATTAGCCAGGAAGCGGTCTCCATGCTCCCTCATCACAAGGTGACGAGGAAGCATGGTACCGGTGTTTTCAAGCCAATCAGGAAGCCGGGAGGCGTGGAATGACTCGCTGTGCGGATTCCTGATTGACCAACTTCCGGACCAATCAGGAAGGCAGACGACGAGTCATTACCCGCCCCCTGGCTGCCTGATACCGGAAGTTTCTGTATCCAGAGCATTTGGGCAAGTATTAGTACTCTCTCAAATACTCGGTATCGGTACCAATACTAGTAACTAGTATCAGTATTGGTGCATGCCTAATGAATTGTAAAACAACTTCTAGTCAGTCATTCTCAACCCCCGTTACGAGTTTGTCGGAAGAATGTTGCATATGATTGAGCTCAAGGAAAGTGCTAACCCCCATCTGTGCACAGACATATTCTTAGTTTTGCATGATCTCATACCTCACCCTATCTTGACTCCTCCAGTAGTCTGTTATTTGAGGTACTTCCATAAATTGCAGAAAGATGATTAGCGCGAAGCAGGATCTTTTTCTCTCTTTTCCTCCCGTTTTTCTCCTTCTCTCCTAAACTGTAAAGTTTAAAAGATAAAATTGTGCATTTTGCAATTGCTGGACTTGCGGTTATCTGTTATGACCCAATTTCAATATCCCAAGTACTCTGTCTTTGCCAGAAGCCAGGGTCATGAACAGGCTGCAGCTCAGCTCCTAGAGGTATGTAGAAAGCAAGCTCCCCTGTGATTGTCTCCTATAATCATAAATCCAATTGCAGGAATAATAAACCCTCAGCAACTCTGTATGGATCTTCTCTTTTTTTTTGTTCCTTATTTTTAAATTTTGGATGATGTGGGCAAGGGTTCAAACCTCTATTAGGTTCTTGCTGCTGTCTTTGTCCCTGATGGGTAGATTCTCCCTCCCTTTCTGTTGTCACCTGGATAAGAAATTAACATAATCACAGCAGAGGGAACACTGCAATAAAATCCTAGATGGTTAAAACCTTTTGACGTATGTGTGTGTGTGTTTTTTGTTAGTTTTCATTTGGGAAGATTTCCTCACTTCCTATTGTAAGACTAGGACAGGACTTGATGAGAAATTTCCTCACAGACCTCAATTAAAACCTGGCAGAGGTTCAACTTCTATCTCTTCCCCACTCCTTGACTGGAGTTGTACAAATACTCTGTTTTCACCGGAGTTCTGTTTCAAATATTCTATGCTTTTATTTTAGGTTTGCAAAGAACTGCTTTCTCTGCTCAGGTAAGTGTGACAATGAGAAATGTATGTATTGTTTTTCCTTACCATATGCAGTAGGTCTTGAATATAAATAGCATGCAGTCTTGCACGTTTTGGATTTAACCTAATTAAGGGTGCTAGATTTCTATCCAAGATGAAAAGGAGCTCTTCAAAAAAAAAAAAATCACAATTATTCTGTGATTATATAACTTCTTTCTATCTAATAACATAATTTTTCCTTTTTTAGAACAAAAGATTTTGAAGGCTTTGGCAGAAGTTTGGAAGGGCTTTTACATCTGTACAATATTCCTGGTAACAGGTATTTGTTAGATGACCCCTAAATTTTACTGAGATCTAAATTTAATAACCAAATACTTGCCTATCCCACCCCTGCATACCATTAGAACTACAGGGGCTAAAGGTTGTTTAGCATCTGACACATATGGGTGTGTTGGAAACCTGATTACCTATGCACGGTGTGAGCCCATCCACTGACCTGTCCATCTCGACAGGACATGATATTGATGTAGGGCTTGGCGGGAGAATCATAGCTCACAGCAAAGGATAAGGCATATGAGACACCCAAAATGCAGAAGTTTCTTCTGCAGCAATAACTCTTCAACAAAGAGAAGTTTGGCGGCATGGGCAGCAGGACAAGCAAGCTTTAAATATTTTCTTTACGGAGAACACTTTTTAAACAAACTTCTAAAACAACCTAGCAACAGTTACTTTAAAGAAAATCTGTGCCTTGCCTATGTAGGGCAAATAAACATAGGTTTGCATTTTTGCCTCCCTTCATAGTAGGATGTACTTGGATATTCTTTGTTCATCCACTGCCCCGTTAAGCAACCAAGAGCAAAGGAAATACTTGGGGTCTGCTCATATGCAAAGATTATTATAAAAAAGGGTGTCACTCTCCCATTTTATTTTTCCTCAGTATTATTAAAAGAATGTAATGGGACTAGGGATCTTCAGATACCAAGTACCGTACTCTGTACAAGTTTAAGTACATGTACAGATACTTTTCCAGCTCCGGGACTAGACTAGAAAATGTTTTCAAAAGTTAGGAGGCAGCTGTCATTTGTAAGGAGCATACGGAGCTCCTGGGATTTATGCAGCCCTGTTTTTAATGTATGATTTTGTTTTATTAAAAAAAACAAAAAACTGATACTTGTCCTAGAACTCACAGATACAAGTACTGATACATTTTTGTTTATTGTCGTGTGACAATTTTTCTAAAACAATATAGACTAATAATTTCAGGACAGTGGTTGAGCGCCAGAGCCAGGTCCCAGCTGCAACCCTGGTAGCTCTTGTGAAAATGGCAAGTATCAGTACCGATATCTGAACATCCCTCAATAGGAGAATTAAGACCCTGTTGGAGGTAGGCAGAGCTAGAATTTATGAAGATGTATATCTGCATTGAATTCCAAAGTTCTGCTCCCAGGTTAGTGGCCCTACTGAAGTTGGCGTGCCATAAGTCTAAATTTAGTGGGCAGCTAGGCAGTCACCAGCCTAAGCTCTGATTGTTTGTTTGCTTTCTGTATTTGATGGGATCCCCTAAGTTCAGAACATTGTTTGATTCTTCCTGTTGCTGGGGAGTGTTTTCCGGTAGATAGTGGGCAATCACTAGGAGGTTATAGACCAGTGATGTGAGCTGGGGAAGGATATAGGGAGCCCTTTCAGAGGGGTCTTTGCCTCCCAGACTTCTCCTGGAGAGGATGCAAGTCCAGAGACTGGGGATATACTTACCAGGCTTTGCCTGGGGAGGGGGTCCATTGTGAGGAGCCTTTTTGCCTCTCAGGCCTGCTGCCTAGGGGGGCATCAAACAGCTTCAGAATCCAGTCCTAGAGATTTGAAAATTGGTCCTATGTTAGGGCATGGAAGAATAGAAGGTGGATGGAAAAGCTTATAATCTTCAGACAAACTTGCTCAGTGAATTGCTGGTCTCATTTCAAATGCACATGTTGAAAAATTACTGATCTATGGAACTTTGAGCCAAAAAAACTTTCAAGCAAAAACTGACTGAGTGAATGGCAGTCATTTGGTCACCACTGGTGGGTCAGTGAATGTTTGGGGCAGCAGTAAGCTAGCAGTAAAGTCTGGGAGTGCCCATTAAACTCCGCATAACAGGGTGAATAAATGTCCTGTCTCTTGATATGCACACCACAATTTACAGTTTTTTAAAAGAACACGCATGTGAATGATCATAACTATGTATGTTAAGTTTTAAAAAATGTTGTTTAGTTTGTAAATATGTAATTGCAATACATGGCAGGGATATTTGCTAGTAAGATGTGCAGCTATGTTTCTTGATTGGTAATGCTACATAGCGATGGTGCTTTAGACCAGGTTCACACCTGGGCGATCTGTGACCACCTGGCAATTGTGCACAAAATTGCGTGGTCAAGGGATCACAAACCATCGTTGATCACACTGGCAGTGCCATTCTTTGCTAATGGCACCGCAGTTGCGCCAGGCAGATCACGCGATTTCCTGCTGCCGCAATTAGTTTCAGATGCTTCAATGATCATTCAGGATTCAACGGTGACGGGTGCAGTTGACCTCCTTCTGACCTGCATTTGAGCTGCTTCAAGTGAGTTTTGCATTCCAATAGACTTGTATGGGAATTGAAAACCTGCCACCCCTCAGCTTGCTGACTCATGATGTTATTACTCTGTTCATTCTGCTCTCTTCTCCCATCTTGTCGGCACATCTACATGCAGCTTGAACCAGAGTGCTGCTGCATAATGTATTGCATGAGTCAAATTTACTTACACTGGCTGCATTAAAAATATATAATTTAAAAAAAAAAAAATTCCTGAATGCCTAGTTACATTATGTGTTTTTTTTTTTTTTAATGCAGTACAGAAATAGAATAATGTATTTCATACTGGGATTACTATAAGTTTCACATCTATTCGTTCTACAATGAATATGCATATACACACATTTTTGTTATAACTAATGTTTTTTTTTCCCATGTCTTAAAGTGAAATCAAAGCTAAAGTCTACCTTGCATTATGCAGTTTAGAAGCAAATCTGAACTCTATATTTAATCTGAGCAGGTATTACTTTTTTGTCCTTAGAATGATCCCTCTAGTATAATGTTACTTTGACCTGCAGTGCCAATAAACAGACTGTGAATATTTACATGTGTTCTCACTGCCAGGTGTACTAATTGTGAATGTATTCAAACTGTGTACTTGTAGAGTAATATAGGGACGTCTCTGTGTATATTATGTTGAGCACTGAACATTTAATAGTTATTTGACATTGCTGGGAATATCCCACATGTTTTGTAAAGCTGCTTTTGTACCTCATTGTGTTTCCAGCACTGAGCCGTCATCCACACTTGAATGTGAGCATAGAAGCAAGAGACCGTTGGGTGCATATCATCTGAAATAGCAACAGGGCGTGGGGGATGCACTAACCTGTAGATATTTTGATAATGTTATTATTTTTATTTTTTTCTGATGATGGTCTGTGCCATCCAGAACTAGTTTTGAATGTAAATCAGTAAACTGCTTCAATATTGTATTCCGATTTTTATTTTCATGTAAGGCCATCACCTTTTTACATTTCTCTAGTGTAGCATATCTAGATGGCCATTCACTTATAATTTTTTGTTCATCCTGTGGGCTGAACGAAAAAAAATATAAGTTTCCTCCATCCATGATAAATAGCGAGGCTGGAGGAATCTCTTACTGGGCTATTGTATTTACAGCTGGTGTGCCACTGTCAGAATACCCAAACAGTGATGGCAGTTAATTGGCTGCTGTCACTGTTCACCCCAAAAACATGTGATTGGCTCCTTAGATTTTCTGATTGAAGGATGCCAATAATGACACCCACTGAAAAGAATTTCGGCCTGTTCATCAAGAACCAGCTGAAATTTGTACAGTGTATGGTCAGCTTGAGACCTATTGTATAATGTGCATGTTTTTGCTTTTTTTTTTTTGTACCAGAGCATTAGAATAAACAATCCAAATATTTATACTTTTACTAGACCTACGACTGAGGATAGGGTGGCAACAATCCTGCATGGAAAAGTTGGTTATCTTTCTCCCAGATGTGGAGGTAAGATATATAAATTGTTTTTCTCTCCTTATCACAGCGGCAATGCCTTTCTATAAAACTTTTCTACCCACGCTATCTGCACTCTTGGAGAAAGGCACCAATGGCAAAAAGGTTGTTCCAGTGAGTAAGGTAAAATCAGGACCCCGGACAGCAGTAAAAACCTATAGGGGGGGCTAATTTTTCCCCACTCTGTTCCGTAAAAAAGGTTTGAGTTATAGATACACTTTAGGTATAATGTGTATGTGTTAGTTTAACAGATTGTTATATTTATAAAAATAGATACTGATGGATATGGAAAAATATGTACAGTTAAGACTATTTTATAGTTTTGTGATTTATAATTTAATGATGCAATTTGTTTAAAAACTGCATGAAATCAGCAAATGTTGTCTATCTTCATAAGATACAGCTGGTTCACATTGAAGAAATGGCTGTGTAAGGTTTTTGGCAGGAATTTATCAAACCTGGAACAGACAGAATCTGAAGCAGTTGCCCATAGTAAACAAGCAGGTTCTCGCTTCAGTTTGTTCAGTAATGCTTTAAAATTAAAAATAGAAGCTGATTGGTTGCTAGGCACAGCTGGTCTTAATTTCATCTCCTCCATTTTTGATAAATTCCCCTCCTTATATTTTGTAAGCAATGTAAGGGCTTGTGTCGATCGTCATTTGTTTGCTCCAAGTGGGTTTTGTATTCACATAGAAATCAATGGATATTCAAAACCCACTTGAAGCAAATAAGATGCAGGTCAGAAGGAGGTCAACTCCAGGTGTAATATACCAGTCATTGAATTCTTAATTAGAAGCATCTCAAACTGATGTCCAAATGCAGTCGACACAAGCCCAAACCCGAATCGACATGAAACCTTAGTGTCCCTAGATATTGGATAGGCCACCAGGTTTCCCTGGGTTCCTTTTTTAAATGCAATTAAGGCACCACTTGTCGATAAGGAAATGGGGTAGTAGAAGGGCAAGGATAGGCTAACCTTTTTGATCACTATTAGTCTTCCTGCAATGAGGCTGACATTAGAGGTGTGTGGTTACTGTACAGACATGTATGCTTGTTTTTTTGACTGTGTACACACTGAGGAAAAATCTCTTTTGATACCTGGATTGCATCTGACTTTCGCTCTGTATCTGCAGCCAGCGATAATCTCACCATAGTTGAAGTTCTTTATATGTTTTGATGTCCGCAAGATCATCAGGTTTCACAATGTTTTCACCAACTCTATATGTTGTATTAATATGTGTATTTATATTCTATGTGATAGCTGATATTTTAGGTTTGAAAAATATTCTGTAAAGGTCTAAAAGATGCTGTCAAAGCTTGTCATATTTCAATTTTAACGGAAAAATGTGTAAGAACATTAATTAACAGTATAAAGAAATTATCAGAGGAAAGTGGAACCATGACTTGCTCACCCGTCTTACCATACCATAGCATACCATACCATTGTTACTGTTGTATATCTGTATTTTGGCTTATGTTGGCACTTCTCTAGCAGGATCATGCATAAATATAGAAGCAGCAGACCTCTGCAGGTCATATTAGGACCCCTCTCCACCTTCTGGCAGTGATCAGTGTGTAGGACTCTTCCCAATATGTGTCTCCTGGGTTTGTTTGGAATTAGAATTCTCCTCTCTCATCAGATAGAGGAACAAGAAGAAAAGCAGTTGTCATGTTGTGACAGCTTACCCTGCTACCTTAATAGGCTTCTATATTGTAATGTTCATATGGTCAGGACATATACTCAGCATTTTATCAGCTAAAAAAAGCCAGTGTCAGCTAAACCTTGCTACACAGTGAATGGAGCAAAGTTCTAGGATTACTAGCTAGGCCTCATAAATTTAAAGTCAGGCCACACAGGTAAGGCCTATCACCCAGTTTCTAAAACTGTAATCTAGAATTTGGATTAATCGTTTCTTCGAATGCTTCTGATGTTCTTCACCCCATCAAAAATAGCAGTTTACATTTTACACTGACTCTTCCTATAAGCTTAAATGTGAGATACTGTGCAAGCAAGAGTTGTGTTTTTGTTTTTGTTTTTTACATGTCACCTGCTGACCATTTGTTAACGTCTTCTAAATATATTTCTGACAGGAACCCCAATGAAAATTGAGTACTATATTTCACCATATCAAGTTTTGGAAGAAAAACTTAAACCAGGTAATGTTATATGTGATCCATATATATCCATTTAAGCTTGTGAGTATGTAGACCCATTTCTTTTTCTAGGTAATATTTAGAAAGGGTCATCCAAGGTACCACTTATCCAAGGGTTATATTATCCATGATTTAAGTTCCATGCAGAATTCTCTATTTGTAAATTGCTCTGCCACTCCTATTAAGGTTCCACTCAGAAAAAGGTAGTAATTTGTATGTATAAATACACTAGTTCTTTAAAGTTCTCAATGTTTTTTAGAATGGGGGATAAAATATTTAATTTACTTTTAAAATAAATAAAAAATGAAATGTTGAAAAAGTTATTTAAGTATCGATACAGTGTCAAAGGGATTGCTGTTGGCAAGCTTCAGAGCCATTTTGGCATTTTACCTGTTGGCCTAACCCCTTCCCAAATAATGCTAACACAGCTTTCAAATGTACTGTATGTGGCATTGAAGGCCATAGACATGGCAAAAACAGTTGCTGGGTGGTGTAGGAGAGTAACCACAACATATTTTGTACAGATTAAAATGTGTGATATCTAATATTTGTAATGGGTTAAATCACCAGCTTTCCCAAAGAATGTATGATGAATACAAGCCATTCTTCAGATTTCAAAAATCACTTCTGATTATTGTCTGTTTCTGATGTCAAAGAGAGAGGGTGTAATAGTGGCAGTCAGAGGCATTAGTGCACAGGGTGATTTTCCAACCAGCTGCAAGTGGGTCCTGATCCTTCACTCTTATGCGTAGAAGACCGACAGATTTAAGTATTGTTCATGAACCACTGAAGGCATGAGGCAACTTGAGTGGAAGCTGCAACTCTTGCAAAGTTAAGCAGATATTATCTTGCCTGTTCTTGGTGGAGATATGGGCTTGTCTCTCTATATCAATGTTTCCATGCCCTTTATGTTTGCTGTTTCCACTGTGCAAAATTTTTCCCTCGTTCTCAAATTTATTTGTTCTATATTTTGTAGAATCCAGCAGGAGAGAAATTTTATCTGATTTAGTAACATGTTCTCTTAGGTACTCGTGTGATTGGAGTAAATGCATATGTGACAGTTGTGGGGACAAACAACTGGTATCATCTTCCAGTATCTCCATCATTCCAAGGGGCTTCACAGGAAAGTGGCAGGTATTACTACTAAAATATTTTCTTTATAATTACATAATTGAATGGACCTTTAGACAGTGAAAAATACTTAGATTCAAATATGATTTGGCTTAAGAGGAATAAAAGAATGGGCCCATACATTTAACTTTTATGACCTTGTGCTTGCATGAATGGGACTTTGGAATAGACAGACATCCATTTGCTTTGTCCTTGAAATCTGAGAGCAATGTCAGCACATGAGTACATTAGTGTGAACAACTGTTAAAAAATGTCTAAAGAGAATGTCTGTGTTTTTTAAAATAGGTTGAAGTATGTAATTTAGAAATTTACATGACTTGGTAGTTTGGTCAAGCCATATTGAGAGTATAGAACCTCATTACGTCAATATGTAGTGAGAATAGAACTTGAAAGAATATGACCTTATAAAATTAGCCAATAGTTTTTTTAATGTCCGAATATGGCTATAAGAAGAGGGAACCTTTTAAGGAAGGAGGAATTGCATCGGCACTACACGAAAGGACAGAACACTCAGACTCCTCAACTGGGAGAAACACACCCACACAGAAGACTTTGCTATTACACACTATTACAACTATTTTTGTCTAGAATCCTCACAAGCCTGAAAAACTTCTAAGACTTCATACGAGGTGATATTCAGGGATCACTAACTCTGTATAATTCTCTGGACTATATATTTTAATTATCTATTTGTTTGTTCATTTTTGCTATATCATTGTATGCTATTGACTTTAAAGTGACATTAAACCCTCAGATTTTTTAACATAAACCAATACTGTAATGTGTGCCTTACTGTAATCCATGGTTGTTTCCCTTCTCTTTGCTGCTCTTCCTTTTAAATTTGTATCTGTTCTCATGCTGGGCAGAACTTTTGTTTTGCAGCAGACTGCCTTGTCTCAGGAATGGATACACGGTGTCTGTGTATCCGTTTGTATAGGCTTGAAACCTGAGCCAGCACTACAGGAAGAGGCCCTGAGCTGAAAAGGGAAGTTCTACCCAAGCATGAGAAGACATGAGGATTTAAAAGGAAGAGCAGCAAAGAGAAGGGAAACAACCATGGAATACAGTAAGGCACACATAACAGTATTGTTTTATGTTAAAAAATCTGAGGGTTTAATGTCACTTTAAGCTATATAATTAAAGTCACAAGTTTTTCATTCAACTGGACATTGTTTGATGAAGATTATATAATCACTTAAGATGCTTAAAAATGCAACTGTCATTCAGGAAACAATTTCTAACAGACAGATATCGAACATATGTGATATTAACTATATAATGTTTTTCTAATGAGACAAAATAGATGTATCATGGGTCATACTAGTACTGGAACAATCCATTACAGCTTCAAGTGGACCTGTCCTTGCATGGACTTAAACAAAATACGCACATATGTGGGAAGGCTAACAAGTTAGCCTGTATTTGTGGGAGGGGTTTGCGCCCCCTCATCTCCTTAAAAGAGGGCCGGCCGAGATGAGGAGGGCGTGCGGTGGTCGGCAGAAGGGAAGTTCTCGAGCGATACGTCACTTCCGGTTGGCAGTTTACGTCACTTCCGGGTCATCGGACCAGCGTCAGGTATCGCCGCCGTTTGCAGGCTGTAGCGCCGCTCACTCGGCACACTGTCCCCTGTAACATCTGTCACGTTTCATGCAGGAATCGACAGCAGCGGTACAGGCAGGGGACTCGCTCGGTGGAGTATTAAGCTGACTCGGGACGCCAGCAGGTACCGTCTGGGGGAGGCAAGTAGGGGAGGGGG